CAGCTATGGGGGCGACAACAGGGACAGATTTTAAGTATATTGCTCAAGAAGAGAAGCTCAGTGACATGGATAAAACACCAACTAGGAAACTGAGATTGGGGAAAAGGGGTAACAAAGGCTTCACTGAGCCAACAAAACAAAAGTAGGAGCAAGTGGGAAACCTGGATCAGAAAGAAACTCTTTATTTGGAACAGGAAACATTCAAATAGTATTCAGTTCAAATGACTGGAAATACAGGGGTAAGTAAATTAAAATGAATTAAACAACTAAATTAAGAGTACATTTATTTCCAAGGATAATAGGGAAAAACCTGCCAAAAAAAAGGAGGAAACCTGTTCCCTCAGTCACACTATGGCAAGCACCACATTCATCAAAGAAAGGAAGGAGCAATCCACCCCAAAAGGATAATAACAAAAATTCGTCCCAGTTCAAGATACCAAGCAGTGATATGTTTTCTAAAAATGTATATGTTTATTATATTAAGCTTAAGTGATTTCTAGCAGTCCCCAAAGATCAAAAACAAAACACACAAATAAACCTGGCAAACCTGCTGAATCTGGTAATGCAGTATCCAGCACAAAAATAAATGTATAGAAAAGGAATATTACACTGGAGAAAGAAATCATTCAGATGAGAAGGAGGGCAAATTTGGGAAAGAATAGCCACAGCTGAGTTTTAAGAGTAATTGTTTATTGCCATAAGGTGTTTTCAAGTCAGTCTGCTTCCTCCCCATCCAGCATGGGCTCTCCCTCAGAAGAAAGATTTGGGACATCCTGCTTTACTGTAAGAAAGGTGCTTGTTCTGCTAATAGTTTTCTTTAAAGAGCTTTTTTTTTTATTAAAACAAAGAAATTAAACACACTGGTTGTAATAATGATGAGAGGGTAAACATTAAAAAAAAAAAAAAAATCATCCATTCTCAACCTGACTGGCAATCATGTAGTGAAAACCCACAGCAACAATGACAGTACCAGCATAAAGAGTAATGAAAGGAGTTCTAAACATTTTGGCTTAAGAAGAGTTAATAAGTTTAAAGCACCATGATCTTACATGCAACTGTTCTGAAGTCTTTTTCACACAGGAAGAGATTTATGGACACCTGCAATGTTTGATCTTGATGCTCTGACAAGTTATGAATTGTTTCAGTAAGTGAAATGAGCAAAGTAACTTTCAAACATGAAAAGAAATTATCTGAATGACCAAGGCTATACCTTATATAGATGGGGTGGCATGGTAAGCATCTCTAACAGAAATTAAATGTAAGTAACAGCTTCATTGCTTATTTTGTTGGGAAATATAATCTCAGCTTTTTTTAAACATCGAATGTCTAAATAGTTTTGTGGAACAGTAGGCTTGTGTAAACCTGTAAGTTGCATCCTGCTTCCATCCATAACCTGTCATAGGAAAATGAGGTAAATGAGCCTCATGTGACTTATCTAAATGTTTTCATTTATCACCTTTAGCCTTAGAGCTTTGTTCTAATCCAGGAGAGAGACATGCATCTAAAAACAACCAGCCCTCAAATCCAGCCTGACCTAAAACCAACAGCAAAACAAAGCAGCACAGATATTTCTGTACCCAGACTGCTATGCTGGGAGAGAGCTTCATAAGGAAAGCTCAGGGTGGATACATCTCAATGGTCTCCTCTGCTTCACCAGTTTTCTTGACTGTTGTTTGGGGTTTTTTAAGGGGTTTGATTTAATGAGAGAGAACTGTGCTTTTAGCAATTATTTGCATACTGTGTATATTAAATAAATCAGATTTAATCCTCTCCTCTTCATTATTACATGGGGCTTTTGGCTTTGACATATTTTGACCAAGCACAAAGGGGCAGGATCCAGCATGCACAAAGTTATACAGAAAAAGAATCAAATTACACTTTGACAGTTTTCTGGACTTCTGCTAGTGACCTCTGCTCATAAAACTTGTTGCTTTGTGATTGTCCAGCCTCTTCTATTCTTTTAATAAGAATGATTCAAAGATTAATGTAATTAATTTTCCATTAGTACATGTTAGTTCTATAAGGCTTCAGTAGGCAGTCATAGAGAAACAGAACCCTGTGTATGCTATTTCAGCTGATAAAGTGCTGGCTGCAGTACCGGGTCTCTGCAGTTCCCACTTCAAATAAATACTCAAATGGGAAGGCTCTATGGCTCTATCGACTTTGTAGTGGAAGTATTTCACGATGACCCAGCAAAAACAAGGCCCATTGTCTGTTAAAATCTCTATCATCAAATCAGCGAGAGAAACCACAGCAAATATTTGAGCTCAGGGCCAGCCCACTTCCTGCATTCTGCCAGTAGCTGGAGGAGGAGGCAAAGGCACTGCCAATTCTCCCTGCTATGGTCTGTCCTCCCAAACTTCTGAATGAGTCTGTGCTGACTTGGAGCTGCTCATCTGCTCCCACAGAATTGTTATGAGAGACTCCATATCTGGCCTTTAAATAAATGAAAAGGCATTTCTCTTTTGCAAATGAAAATGTTTTCTGTTAGAAATGCTGTGTGTGGCTGTGCAGGCGTCTGACAAAGCCAGCTGGCTACTGGAAAGATGGAAAATCAACAACTGCACAAATGTGGCTGCGTCTTCCACAACTGTCAAACTGTTAGGCAATTGTAAAAAGGTTATTGCACATTAACAGAATATAAAATTAATTGAAGGTTATTACAGCTAAAAACCTAGTAAATCATCTAACTTCTGATTTCTAAAAACTTGCACATTTAAATAACTAATGGATTTTTATATTTAGTATGGTATTAAGATTTAAACTGTGATACAAATTTACACGATCCAGTAATTTTCGATAATCTACACTTTAAAAGCTCTTTCAGTACAGAATGGTTTACTGCAGTCTACTGTGCAAATATTTAAAGTGTGACATGGATTCTCCTCCTTTGCCACTTTCTGCAACACCAGTCATTTTCATGGACAAAATGTTTCCAAGTTCTTTAGAAGAATCACTTCCAGAACAGGGGTTAAGAGCACTCTCCTCCATGCCTGGAGTAACACAGCCCTCCTTGCTGCAGACGGAACTTGCTACATGTTTGGTGTAGGCTGAGGAGCCCACAGTTCATAAACAGGAAACAACCCACAACTCATTTTGAATTCCAATAAATATTTTGTGTTTTACTGCCTTTGGGACAGCACTTGTGTGTGAGTCAGGACAAGATGAGGTGTGGATAAAAAGCTGAGTCAGCCTGGCATGTCCCTCACTGGCAACTGTGGCAAATCCTTCAAAACGTGCATATTCCCCAGGCAAAAGCCTGCATCCATTCCAACATCTTACTCTAGAAAATTGTACTGCAGCACTTGCATCATGTCACCTCACCTGTGATGAAATATGTAGGTGTTAAACCTGGGTATTAACCTGCTAAATCAACTGATTCTTGTGGCATAGGGTGTTGGCCCAGCTTGGGACAGACCATGGAACAGCTCTGGTGGTTGAGAAGTTAAACAGTGACCAGAGCTAGTTTGAAACACTTTGAAATACTTTAAATCAATATAGGGCTTTTAGTTATCTTCTTTTTTCCATGGTCAGTATTGCCTTTTGCTGGCTGGTCCTGAGCCATGCCTCGGGGCTTTTCAGCCTCCACAGTCACTGTTGTTTCTGCACTGAGTGCTCTGGTGTCCAGGGCCATGTGCTAACCCCAAATTTATGATAAATTTATGGAATTAAGTGTAGTGCTCACTGTGCTATGGACCAAACCCCAAAACAGTGCTCTCTTCCCTTTCTAGACCTCATTTAACTTCCCACTGGAAACCTCTGAAGTGAGTCCTGTTTTATCATCCCGGTACTGTGTCATTGACTGCTCAACTCACTAATTAAGTGAGGTTCCTGATTAAATTTTGGTTTTGACTGGTTAGTTGGTTGGTTGGGTTTCTTTCTTCCCCACACGGAACGCAAACGTGAAGGCAAGCACGCACTTACATATTCTGAGAAGTGTTTCGCGGAGCGGTGGACGGGCGCGGCCACGGCCGTCCCTCAGGCCGGCGGCGCTGCCGGGCCCGCAGCGGGGCCGCCCTCCGGCCGCGGGGCTTCGAGCGGCCGGCCCGGCGTCCCGGGGCTCGGCCCCTCAGCCCCGTCCCCCGGTACACAGCGGGGGCTCGGAGGGAGCTTGGGCCGGGGCTGTGAGGGGTCTGAAGAGTATGAAGGCAGTGAAGGCAAGGAGGAGTTTGAAGTAGGGGGATGTGAGGGCAATGTCGGCAGTGAGGGGTGTGAAGGGAGTGAGGGCAATGAGGAGTGTGAGGGCAGTGAGGGTGTGAGGGCAGTGAATGGAGTGAAGGCAATGAGAGGTGTGAGGGCAAATGAAAAGGGCGAAGGAAATGAGGTGCGTGAGGGCAGTGAGGGGTGTGAGGGGTGTGCGGGCACTGAGGCTTGTGAGGGCTCTGAGGGGCGTGAGGGCACTGAGGGGCGTGAGGGCACTGAAGGATGTGAGGGCACTGAGGAGTGTGCGGGCACTGAAGGGTGTGAGGGCTCTGAGGGGTGTGCGGGCACTGAGCGGTGTGCGGGCACTGAGGTGCGTGAGGGCACTGAGCGGTGTGCGGGCACTGAGGGGTGTGCGGGCACTGAGGGGTGTGAGGGCACTGAAGGGTGTGCGGGCACTGAAGGATGTGAGGGCACTGAGGGTTGTGCGGGCACTGAAGGATGTGAGGGCACTGAGGGTTGTGCGGGCACTGAGGGGTGTGCGGGCACTGAGGAGTGTGCGGGCACTGAAAGGTGTGAGGGCTCTGAGGGGTGTGCGGGCACTGAGGGGTGTGCGGGCACTGAGGGGTGCGAGGGGAACGGGGCCGCCCCCGCCCCGCCAATGGCGCACGGCCGCGGCGGGAGGTGTGTGCCGACCTCACTTCCGGGCCCTGTCACCGCCGCTCCGCCCCTCTCCCGCTCCCTCCCCGCCGCCGCTCCTTCCCCGCCGGCAGCCGGGCCGCGGCCCGCCCCGCCCCGCGCAGCGCGTGGCAGCGATGCACGGTACTGCCTTAGGGGCGGCCTCTACCCGCGCCGCGCCCGTGTCCCGGCCGGGGCGGCGGCAGGAGGCGGGAGCGCTCGCCCGGCATTGGGTGACGCCCCCAGCTCGCTAGCGCGGCGGCGGCTTTGCTAATGACCTGTCCTTTCTTCTCCTCCCCTCCCGTGCTATTCGCTGTTACTCCTCTCCCGGCCCCGCGGTGCGAAGCCCTCGGCGGAGCGGCGGCGGGCGGCAGGAGGAGGTAGCCGGCCCGGGGAGATGCTGTAGCGGCTGCGGGAACGGGGCCGAGGAGCTGCAGGACGGGCAGAGCCGGCCCGGCGCAGGTAAGGAGCCGCACGGGGAGCGGGAGTTCGGGGCGCTGGAGGTGGGAACAGAGAAGGGGGCAGTGCGAGGGGCTGGTTGGCGACTGTCGTGTCTCCTAAATGGAACAGCTGGGTTGCCCTTATCCCGGAACGAGCTCGGGCACTGGGCAGAAAGTGCGTGCTTGGGGGTTCCCGCTGTTGGCCCGGCTCAGTCGGGCGGGTTGTGCTTTTCCCGGGCGGCTGCTCACAGGAGGGTCCTCTGGCCTGAAACCAGGAGCAGGTCAGGAACGCCTCCGGGCCTTATTCTGTGGTTTGCCGCGTTCTTGGTTGTCCCTGTGGGGCTGGATACTTGCTTTTCAAAAAGCATTCCAGCAGTAACAAAGGAAAGGAGTGTGAAAAGGTGTTGCCTTGTATTCATATTAAGATTGACCCAGTCTCACTCAATGATACAGGAAGCTGTTCCTAAGCTCTCTGATGGAAGTAGTATGAGCGCAGGATTCGTCACACAGGATTATCTGGAATGATTATGTTTGGCACTTTTAGCATTGGGTGTCTTAGTAGTACTGCACTAATAAAGGTGTTGCATAAGTTTTGTTGTGAAGGAAAATCGTGGTCAAACTCCTTGCATTACAGAATATGCACAGACTTTCTCATTGGCATCTGGCACTGCTCACCTATTAAAATTTGCTTTGCAGGCAGCAAAATGGATCAGCTGTAAAAACTATTTCCTTTGTTAATCCTGAATCATTGACTTAGCATTGAGGCTGCTACCTGGTCTCGTGCTGGAACTGAGGCACTTGTGGTTCATGTGATGTGGTCACACGTCTGCTAAACCTGAACCAGTATCATAACTTTTGTTGGCTGGCATGAGCTACGGAGCAGCCATCAGCTCCTGGTGACTTTGAGTGGCAACTTTGGGAATTTCAAGTAATACAATGTAGTGTATTGGAAGGATGAGAGTATGCAGAGCTTATGGGAGATTTGTGGAACTCCCCAAAGAGCATGCTTGCTGTCTTTTCCCATGTTGGGAAGGAACTCTTAGTATGGTCCAAAAAACATTCTTAGCAAGCTGTTGGTGCCTTACATTGACTGTCATCCTCTACAGTCAGGTGCATATGGTGTTTTGGCTACTTATTGGAAACACCTGGTGGGTTTGTAATTTGCTTTTCAGTAGTTCTTTAGTGTCCTCATTTTCTGTTAATAGTAGTAGTCTTCATAAAGGGTATTATGAAATTTAAACCATGGAGAGAGTTAGGCTTCAGTTGTGATTTTGTGTTGTTATGCTTGTAATAGTTCACGTGCAGAATGTTATAAGAATATAAGGGACAATAATGTCCTACAGGAGAGTAGGATATATGGCCTGAGATATTTATCTTGTTCTAAAGAATGTATTATAATGCTCACTGTTGTCCCAAAGCAGGCAAGGAAACATAATTTTCTTATTATTTTTTCAGAAGCAGCTTGTACTTCAGAATTGCAAACAACTCTATTCTTGTCCTTACTTTTATATAGCTTTCTTGATGAGATTTGGGTTCTAAGTTCTGCTTCTATTGCACATGTCATATTTTTGCAAGGGAAAAAACAGAGAACACCATACTTATCCTGGAAAATAAATGAAGCTGAACTAGTATTTATTAAATGCACAAGCATATTTTTGTACATAACTTTGGAATTTAAACTTTTTTTTTTAATCCAGTTTTTCAAAATCTCTCTGCATCTCTAATTTGCCTGATATGTTTTAGCTATGTATGCTTATTTATATATATACAGGCCTTATAAAGTATATAAAACCAAAATCTCTACCTTTGAGATGTAAATCCTCAAAATAAAGATCAATTGCAAAGACATCTCATGGGGCTGTGTGTGCACCTTAGAAACTATAACTACTGTAAATAATTCCACAGAAAGACTTTGTGAGAATGCTCTTTACAGTAAAAGTATTTTACTCTATAACAGATAATTAAAATAGCACAGGACTGTCACTATAGTGTTCTCAGTTGTGTTTTGAATTCTTTTTGAATTCTTTTTGAAAAAAATCTGAATTATATTGGGATATACCAGTTATATTCCCTAGTTAGCTAGATGTCAGTGTGGTCCTGATGTAAAATTAGGGATGTATTAAAAAACTCAGTCATTTAAAAAATATCTTAGCCCAAGTGAAATGAAAGTTTTTGGGTGTTTTTTAGAAGAAGCATAATGAAATATTTTTAAGTTATATTACATTATAGCTATGTAAAATCAGTATAATAAGCTCTGGGAAATTTTGAAATTTTATTGGCACTTTTTTTTTTTTTTAAAGAATGTCAGCAGCTTTTTATTTATGAAGAACTGCTTGTTATCATCAATATGCACATGAAATGGAAGGGGAAGAAATTCTGGAAAACAACTTCTGTTTCAGCCTTGCAAGATGCTGCTTGAAGGGGTAAGTACATACATGGACTGGACACAGAATCTATGTAAAGAATGATTAACGTATATTCAAATGACAGAGAGAGAAATCTGAGCATGTAGTGGCAATAAATAATTGATAAACAGAAAATATATAGCCCAATCAGGAGAACAAAGTAAAACTTCCATATGGCCTGATATCTACTGCTGTCTTAGGTGCTAGTCGGTAGAATTCTGAATTCTTAATATTTTAGGAGTAGAGTGCTCAGCATTTCAAAGGGCCAGGTTGTGGCAAGTACATTTTTTTCCCTCTTAGGATTTTTCATAGAGGTGCACAGAGAGAAATAAAAGAGAAAACTATATTTTTGCTTCTTGTTTTTCCTATGTAGAATGTGTTTAGAGAATTGTTTACCTGGAGTGAGTGCTTGATTGGATTCAGGTGAGGATTGTTTGAGCCTGATGGCCCAATCCAATCCACCTGGGGCTGGACTCTCAAGAGAGAGTCACGAGAAGAGTTAAAGATAAAATCAGAAAAAGGAGTATGTAGTTTTAGTATTCTCCTTTTATATAATATATGAATGTATTTTAACATAGTTATAATAAAAAAATAATTCAGCCTTCTGAATTAAGTCAAACATCATCATTTCTTCCCATTAAGTTTGCCTGCATTTACAATACCAGGTCTGTTAAATTAAATATTGAATGACATTTTATGAAGTAGAAGGCTGAATTTTTCACTGAAGCAGAAAGCCAGGTAAGGTTAGGCTGTTAATCATCACAATCCTCAAAACTTAAATCTCTCCAAGAGTGTGATATTTGACATGTTTTAAAGATACTGAAGTAATATGAGGAGACTGTTGTGTGACCAGATTGCATGTGGCATTGAGATGTTGCCAAATCTGACTCCACTTCCTCATACCACCTCTCATAGTTTCTGCTTATGAAACAATATTTATTTATAAGTGTATTGCATGTATCTTTAAATATCTAAGAAGTGTAATTTGTGTGTCCAGTGAAGGAGTTCTCATGCACAGATTACTACAGATTATAAACCACAACTCTTGGGCACTCTCATCCTGACTGAGGCTTGAGTTGTTGTTATGTGACTGGTTTGTGTGCATCTTTGCTGAGTCTTAAATGTGTGTATGGTGTTAAAATTTTTTATACTTTGGAAAGATGTAAACTACCAAAGAGGCATAGTTTGTTCTGTAGTGCTGTATTCATCTAAATGTAATGGTTTAAATTCAAGTTGTCTCATGCCTGTGGAAACACTAAAAGTAGGAGAGATTGCCAAGCATTTGGCAAATTACCTATCCCTTTCTAAAAATGCTGATACACTGTCATGGTTTTTAAAAGATGTATAAACTGGGAAATTATTTGCTAAATCTTTGCAAATAGTAGAAGAAACTTGTTCCAAAATGTGTCTGCCTTGAGGAACTCGGAGCAGAGTGCTGAAGTTGTACTGAGGTTGTACAGCTCTTTGGCATGTTTCCAGGCAGATGAAATACATGTGAAAGCAAGTTACTCTAATATTTTAATATTTCATATAGTTGTATCTCATTCGTTTGTTTTTATTTTGTTGAGAAGTACATAGAAGGAAACCAGAACTGCTGTTTGGTATGCTGGTTGAGCAAATCCTTGCTAATTTTTGAGTAATAACATCCTGAAGCTGAGAAAACTTATCATGGGGAATGGTTTAGAGTTTGATGTATTTTAAATGGAAAAATAATACTGCAATGACTTAATATTATTTACATTTAACAACAAAAAACAGTCATAAAAGTGGACCATTTGGAACTATTCTACAGCCTGTGATTAAGATTTGGAGGAAAGTCTTAATGTTTTGTTGTGTATATCCATCCATCCAGCACTGTTATGCGAAGTTCTATTACCTGAATACAGGCTTGTATTGCCATTCTTTGTTTTATTTCATTACACAAATAAGTGCTACATGCCTGTTTTGTTTTAAAAATTATTTACAGGAAATGATTGATATAACAAATCACAGAACAAACCACTGAACATGAATGTTCAGAAGGTAAGAACAGCTCATATCTTATTTGAAAAAACCTTACTTGAAAGTGAAGACTTGAATTACTGATGATGTTTGCTGTCAGTGTTACTGCTTCAGGAAGAATGGTACAAAGTACCTGACACTGGAGTCATGGGGCAGGCTCCCATTAAGCAAAACCAAGTGAAACTAAACCAAACTCTCTGGCATCTTTATTCAACATGTATGGAAAATGTTCCCTGGAGTAGTAAGGCTGAAGAATATAATGTGGAACCAATTGGATCTGTGGGGGAGGAGGAGGGAGAATGTGGGTGTTGTGTCAGAAGACTGCTTTGGAGGCTCTTGTTTATTGGTGCCTGGTGGCATTCTGTCCAACAGAGCAGAGAAATCCTCCAGTACAGCTGTCAATTAATTCCTATACTCTGATGTTAAAATACAATTAATTGCAGCCCACGGGTCATAATTGAAAACCTGTTGGCTCGTTGGCAGTTTTCAGTGGAAGATTACAAAACAGCTATATATATGTGTATACATATATATATATATATAACAAGTTTATATATTCTTGCCCACCTCAGGATAAAGGATATGTTGTGTGCAGTTAAGCAGGCCAGTGTGATCAAATCAGGTAGCAGCTTTGTTACCTATGTAAGTAAGAGACAAGCTTTAGTACCTAGATAAGTAAGAGACAAGCAGCACAGGGTTACTGCTTCTGAACAAAGCAGCAGCTGTACCTGTCATTCTGTGCTGGAGATCTACAGATGTAACTGTGCATAAACACGCCAATATTTTCAAACAGCTGTCAAATTTTCAAGATAAATATATGTTCTGGGCACCTGACTTTCAGCATACTAAGCTGCTGTCATTCTAACCAAATTTGCAAGGAGTTGCATTTTCTCAATAATAAATCCCATGAAAATGTAATAATGATTATCCTCTAAGAATGTGGAATTGTTCAATTTGCAGCTATCATTAATTTTATTTCTCTTTTACATGGCAAGGGGGGATGTGTGTGTATAAATGAACACATAAATGCAAAGAAATGGGGTGGCCTCTCTCAGTGGTTACTGACAACACTGCAAAGATGGGCTACAGCAAGAAGTGTGGCTACACAGTGTGGCTGGATCTGATCTAGGCTCCTTTCCTTCTCCCATCCATACGCCTCTGTCCATCCCGTTTGGGTGTGTTCAGGTCTCTGGAGCTGTCTGTGGTTCTCCTGTGTTAGCGATTCAGTGAAAGGAGCTGTTTCACCGAGGCCGTGTCTGTGCTGGGGAATAAAACTGGCCAGGGACGGTTCCGGGAGCTGGCTCAGAGTGTGGGGTTGCGGGGGGGCAGAGCAGCGCGCAGTGCCCTGGGCTGGGAGCAGTGCCTCTCTCCTGGGAGCCTGTGAGGCTGCTGCAGGCCGGAGCAGTGTCGGGGAGGCTCCGGAGCAGCGCTGGCCCCGGGGCATTCGCGGTGCCAGAGTGGCCAGCGGGATGCGGCAGCGCCAGAGCCAGCGCAGGCACCGGGGAGCAGCGTGGCTGGAAGGACAGAGGGAGAGGGAAGGTGCGGCACTGCCAGGGAGCTCTGAAGGGATATCCTTTTGATGCGAGGGGGCTATTACGTTACTTAAGCTGACTTGTCTAGGTACCCTTAAGGTAACCTTATTTTGCAACCAGTAACTCAGCTGTGCTTCGGAGAGGGACTGTGTGCTGTGTCCCCCATAACTGCTCTTTCAATGTCTGATACAGGCCAGCTGAAATGCCTTACAAAGTGAAGTAAAACTGGAATATGAAAGTACATGCATGGCTTTTTAAAGAGGTTTTCTTTTCCTGGTTATTTCACTGGACTCATTTTATTTTCCTCCACCTTTCTGCAGTTCAGATGCTTCCTTAGTTAAAAGGAGTGGAGTGGCAGATGTACAGCAGGGCTGGTATTGTTGTTAAACTGGGCACCAGATACCTTCCACGTCATAGAGGATGAGCAAGGAAAACATGGCAGGAAACTGATTGGTTGTAGTTTGCCACTTTTTGATCACGCAGGAGTATGAGGCTTGTGATCTGTACACTGTAGTGAGTGACCTGATTTAGAGCTGTGAAGTCATGTGTCCCAAGTATATCCTCTATCTGACACGTCAGGAGCTTGCAAGCACAAGTACTTGATATCCATTTGCCAAAAAATGTAGATTAATTGCATTCATGCCTGTTGCCAAGGCTCCTGTCAGTAATGCTAACTCAGTGCAAAATTTGTTTTTCCATGATACATTAGCACAAAGAAAAACTTTTAAAGGTAGGGATGTCTAAATTGTCAGAATAAAACTGAAGGACTTTTTCTTAGCCAAAAAAAAACCCAAAAAAACCAAACCAAAGCCAACAAAGAAAACCAGCAACAAAAAGCGAAAGCATTTTGTTTCACATTCCACTCTGAGTTGTGGCATGACATTAAATTGCAGTTAGTTTATTTTTAGCAGGTTTCATTTGTTTATTTACTTAAATGTAATAGCTGAGCAACAAGAGCCTGTAAAAATATTTCTAATGAATGAGTAACATTGTAGTACAATAAAGGATAAGTAAACTACACAACTTCAAGTGCTAGTTACAGAAGACACTGGATTTTTATGTGCAGGTAGAAGAGTATAAAAGCTGGCTTATTGAAATTACTCAGTTTTCAAAATGACACTTGCAAGCAGAATAGGCCTAAATCTGTAATATTTTGTTTGAGAGTCATTATTTTTTAAAGGATCTAAATCCCTCTGTTAAGCTGAATTTAATTTATCAAATAAGTCATGTTACTATGTCTGCACAAGGGAATAAAGTTTATCAGTGAAATAAAACCACTGAAAATACACAGTGGTGGTGTTCTCTGCTAAGAAGGCGAATTCAGGCTTCTTGAATGTCTTCCAAAAACAGATGTAAATTCCACTGTAGCTTTTCAAACAGTGAATAATCCTGGTCTGTTATGTTTGGTGATGAATCATGCAAGGAGTTGCAGATGGTGAGGCGGGTGCAGCTGTGCAGATGCTGGAGGAACTGAGATAGGAGACTGGAGGACAAGGAGATGAAGGAGGTGATTTGAGGATGGGTTGATATGGGTGATAGAGGAGAGGGATAAGACAACTGAAAGAATATTGACAAGGACTGTAACCTGAGATTCGGGATAGGGAGTGAACTGGTGACTGAAAGGAAGTATTCTTGAGGAAGAAACATATTTTTTGTTGTTACTGATCTTGGAAGCAAAAATTGCAGTATCAGATACCAAAGCAACTGGACTTTTGTCCTGAGCCAAAACAATGAGTAGCCCAAGCTAGAAGTTTCATTTACAAGTGGAAAGAGAAAACTTCATGTCGCTTTTAAAGGAATACTGGCCTTAAGTAGGAGAGCTTTTGTAGGAAAAGGTACAGATGCACATTTGTGGGCTTCTTTTATTTCTATTTTTTGAGCAGGACACGTGTAATTAGATCAGTGTGGCAAAATCTGGGAATTTTTCAGATGGAGAAGTTTTATCTAAGTCAAAATCCAGTCAAAATTTAGTCCCACTAAAAATAGGAGGTTGCAAGGCCTAATCACTAAATCGCAGGTAAGAGACTCAAATGTAACTTTTCACAATCTTAATCAGAATGCTAAACACACCTTTCAAATTTTTGCATTAAGTGATTTATCTTTTTTTTTTTATTTATTTTTTTCCTCTCCTTTTAGATTGACAGTTTTGTTCCAAAACAATAGCTCTTTATTCAGGAAGAATGTTGCCATTAAGATGTCTGCAAGAATTAGAGGGTAATGCAGGCACATGTCCAGGTCAGTCTTGAAAGGGTTTTGCCCCAAAACTGAGAGCAATTTTCAGGATTGTTTTCTCACCTCGTCTGGTCTAGTTACCTGTCAGGTATATGCAGTATGGTCTACTGTCCTGTGCCCCCAGCCCAATAATTCTGAACCTGCAAATCTTCTCAAATTAGAAAGAGCAGTAATGGCTGCAAAAGCATTAAAGTTCTGTCATTTTCATGGAAGGTGGTGACTGGGAGGAAGAAAGGAAAACTCATTATTGACCCTGCTGAGGAAGTGATGCAATATGAATTCAGCAATTGTCTGTTCTCTTTGACCTGTCAGTTTCCAGCCAGCACAGGAGGACAAGCAAGCTCAGGTTGAAGCAGCCACAATATGTTTGTGGTGCTTTGGGGGTGCCATGTGCACAGGGGGAAATAGTAAACACCTGTGTGAATGGTAGTTCTCAAATCTGGGTATTGCCTCAGTGCTCCCAAACTTTTATGGTGCTATTTAAACTCACAAAACCATATGCAGCTGCAAAAATTTCATTGCCAGTCAATAAACTCAAAATTAATTGGCATCTGTCAAACATAATGAGTAGCCTTGAATGAGGTTGTATGCAGATAAAGTACTTATGTCATAGGAACAGTCCTTTGCTCTTCTCTTGAAGAATAAGCAAGGTTGAACTAATATAGGAAGGTTAAATATGCTCTGAAAAAAAAGATTGTCATTTTTTCTTATCCTTCTTTTATGACATTTCAGCTAAAGACAAGTATTTTTATTTATAACACAGCAAGGATTCTAATTTCTAAAGAATGTTACTGCTATATGTTATGTTATATATGATATATATTATGATAACATACTAAATAATATGTTATTATCAAGAATATATGCGACTTGGTATCACACATAAAGGTCTGCGGATGAAAAACAAAAGGGATTCCTATATCCTGTTCTGTAAGAACACATTTGAAGTTGTATGTACTTCCACATGAACCCTAAATATTGTTGAAATACCATCAGTTTCAGAAAGTGCATCCAAGTGTTTGATTTTAAATTAGTGGCAATTGGCTTTTTCATTTCATAAATATAGTATGTCTGAACTTTCACATTTGTAAGGAAGAGTTACTAGACAGTTATGCCTAAAGTTAAAAGGAATTGTTTTCCTTGACAAAACAGTCATGTATGTTATGTTTTTGTGGGTTTATTTGGTTTTGGGTGTTTTTATCAAACATGTGAGCGAGTAAATCTTCTGAGTGAGAGGTTTATGTAGCAGCACCATCA